CGGTGAATGCTCCAACACTGGAAGTTTTTAAGAAGAGGCCGGACAGTCATTTGTCTGAAATGGTATAGGGTCTCCTGCCTGAGAAGGGGGTTGGACTAGATGACCTCTGAGGTCTCTTCTGACTCTGTTATTCTGTTAGTTTCTAAAATAAATTCAGTTTCTTAGATAAGGTATCTGCCCTCTGGATTATTCAACCGTCTAGAAGCACTGGTAAGTCGTATCAAAATAAAAAAAAATAGCATTTCAGCCTTGCCATACAGGCTGCTTGCCCTTTGTAGAATGGTGTGACATCAAAAGTGATGAAGTTGGCAATGGTGCAAACTTCATTATTTGTCCCCCTCTCTTGGTCCCCTGTGGAAGCTTTTGTAGGGACTCACAACTTCTCGTCTTCAAAAAAGTGTCTTTGAGATGAAGGAGAATAGAATAGCAGAGTTGCAAGGGACCGTGGAGGTCTTCTAGTCCAACCCCCTGCTCAAGCAGGAGACCCTATACTATTTCAGACAAATGATTGTAGTAGTAGTAGTAGCAGCAGCAGTAGTAGTAATAATAGTAATAATAGAGTTGGAAGGGACCTTGGTGGTCTTCTAGTCCAACCCGCTAATCAGGCAGGAAACCCTGTACCATTTCAGACAAATGGCTGTCCAGTCTCTTCTTAAAAACCTCCAGTCTTGGAGCATCCACAACTTCTGGAGGCAGGTTGTTCCACTGGTTAATTGTTCTAACTGTCAGAAAATCTCTCTTTGTTCTAGGTTGCTTCTCTCCTTGATTAGTTTCCATCTGTTGCTTCTTGTCCTTAAAGTTCTTCCATCATGACATCTGATAAGGTCATAGCGGAAGGTTAATAATTAAGGTTTATGCAGTGACATCATAATCCATATGCCATTATATTAAAATCATAAGGGCATATGTCACAGTCTTCTCCTGCTCGAGCAGGGGGCTAGACTAGAAGACCTCCAAGGTCCCTTCCAGCATTATTCTATTCTCTTCTCTTCTCTTCTATTCTATTCCAATATTCTATTCTATTCCAATATTCTATTGCTATTCTATTCTGTAATTCTATTCTACTCTATTCTACTCTGTAATTCTATTCTATTCTATTCTATTCTATTCTATTCTATTCTATTCTACTGTATTCTATTCTACTCTATTCTGTAATTCTATTCTACTCTATTCTACTCTGTAATTCTATTCGATTCTATTCTGTAATTCTATTCTACTCTATTCTACTCTGTAATTCTATTCGATTCTATTCTGTAATTCTATTCAATTCTATTTTATTCTATCTTATTCTATTTGATTCTATTCTGTAATTCCATTCCATTCCATTCCATTCTATTATATTCTATTCCATTCTATTCCATTCCATTCTATTCTATTCTATTCTATTTTATTCTATTCCATTCCATTCCATTTCATTCCCTATTCTACTCTACTCTACTCCATTCCATATTCTATTCTATTCTATTCTATTCTATTCTATTCTATTCTATTCTATTCTATTCTATTCTACTCCATTCCATATTCCATTCTATTCTGTTCTGTTCTATTCTGTTCTGTTCTATTCTATCTAATTCAATGAAAAATCTTAACTCACTTCATTCCCAATCCTTGGGAGTAAAGAATGACTTACCAGTCTGTTCCTTCAGCTAAATATCTAGGTTGGGGGGCCACAGTCCGGGGAGTTTGCAGCTGATGGCCAAATTCAAAGCTTGGATGTAACCGATGAGGTTGGACAGACATGTGCTCCTGAGTCCGCCTGCGAGAGAGAAGGAGAAGAATGAGTGGAGACACTGCTCACTCTCCACGTCTTCTCACCGAGTTCTAGATTCCACATCGCTCGGAGAACACCCTGTTTAGATCAGAGCAGGGAAATGGTGTGGGAGGTGAGCAAAATCTAGATTTTTGGTCTGTCCATGGGGGTGTAATAGGAGGCATGATGGCATTCTGGCCTATGTGACATCATGGGTCCCTACAAGGTGAATCAAAAGGGTAGAGATGTCATATGCAACATGATGTCATTCCACAGGTGACACCTTATGCTAATACTGCAAAGTAGAATGGAGTGGAATGGAACGGAACAGAACAGAACAGAATAGAATGGAATAGAGAAAATGTGGAATGGAATGGAATAGAATATGGAATGGAGAAGAGGAATGGAATGGAATGGAATGGAATAGAAAATAGAAAAGAAAATAGAGAATATAGAATAGAATAGAATAGAATAGAATAGAATAGAATAGAATAGAATAGAATAGAATAGAAAATAGAATAGAATAGAATAGAATAGAAAATAGAATAGAAAATAGAATAGAATAGAAAATAGAATAGAATAGAATAGAATAGAACATAGAATAGAATAGAATAGAATAGAGAATAGAATAGAATAGAATAGAATAGAATAGAATAGAATAGAAAATAGAATAGAAAATAGAATAGAATAGAAAATAGAATAGAATAGAATAGAATAGAACATAGAATAGAATAGAATAGAATAGAGAATAGAATAGAATAGAATAGAATAGAATAGAATAGAATAGAATAGAGAATAGAATAGAATAGAATAGAATAGAATAGAATAGAATAGAATAGAATAGAATAGAATGTTGCCACAAAGAAGAGGGAGTCAAACTATTCTCCAAAGCCCCTGAAGGCAGGACAAGAAGCAACAGATGGAAACTAACCAAGGAGAGAAGCAATCTAGAACTAAGGAGAAACTTCCTGACAGTGAGAACAATTAACCAGTGGAACTACCTGCCTCCACAAGCTATGAATGCTCCAACACTGGAAGTTTTTAAGAAGAGACTGGACAGCCATTTGTCCTAAATGGTATAGGATTTCCTGCCTGAGCAGGGGGTTGGACTAGATGACCTCCAAGGTCCCTTCCAATATCATCATCATCATCATCATCATCATCATTATCATCATCATCATCATCATCATCAAGTCGAGGACTACCTGTGCTGGCAGTCGCCCCCCCTCCCCCAAACCCAGGGCCCCAAGGGGGAGGGGGGCGCTCACCTGGGATGGGATATGATCCTGCGGTGGTGCTGGGCCTCCAGGAGCCTCTGCTGGAGAAGGTATTGCTGGTGAAGCGCTTGAGGTAGGAACGGAGGTCCCGTCACATCCTGGAATGGCAGGGTGGGTATCGTGGGCAGCGACGAGTGAAGCGGGCTGCTGTGCTGCTGGGCGGCTGGGAGGTGAGGCTGGACGGCGTGAGGCAGGGGGAAGTCTGCGGAGATCTGGGGCTGGGGGGCCAGGTGGAAGTGCCGGCAGGAGGTAGCGTGAGGATGCTGGGACCTTTGGAAGGGAGCACCTGGAAGGAGCAAGGCAAGGAGTTCCACTGAGGGAGGAAGCAAGGGAGGAAGACCACGGAGACGCCACGCGGAAATCCTGGTCACACGAGAGACGGCAGGTTGAGAGAGAAAATGCCCTGGGGGGTGTGTGTGCTTTGGAATGACTGGACTTCAACTCCCAGAATCCCCCAGCCGGGGTTTCAATCAGGGGACTCCAATCCTGGCCACTTTAGGCAACTACCAGAATTTCCCAGCCAGTTTTCATCCGGGGACTCCAATCCTGGGAACTTTGGGACTATTGGACTTCAACTATGTATCAACAGCCCTGCCTGAGCTGGCCGACGTAATAGCCGGGGTGGCAGTTGCGACCCCCAGACTTATGGTCATGGGGGATTTCAACCTGCCATCGGTGGGCGAGGCGTCGGCGGCAGCTCAGGAGTTCTTGGCTTCCATGATGGCCTTGGACTTGACCCAGTTGGTACATGCCCCCACTCACACGGGGGGACAC